GAAGGAAAGATGTCGAGGGAACCACCCGAGTTTCAAATGACATCTCATCCATTTAGTGCCGTATCATCGCCGTTTCGTGCGAACTCTGCCTTGAATAAGAGGGCCCAAATATTCTCTGACGGTTATGATGGTTATGTCGTAGATGCTGTCAAGAATAATTTCTATGTTGATGATTGCTTGATATCCTTTCCCACTTGTGATCAAGCAAAGATTTTCGTGAAGCAGATAAGTGAATTATTGTGTAGAGGAAATATACAAAAAATGACCGATCTTGAATCTTGGTTCAAAGGTCCTACTTTATTGCATGGCGAATTTTATATAACAATCACTGACTGTCCGGAACCTACTCCTGGCGATATTGAGTTTAGAAAAACTGCTGTGGCTAACTTGAGTAGTATAAAGTACAACATGACACCTATTCTCTCTTATTATTCTGAGTGGTTGAAATTAGTCAGAGCTGTAAACTGGTTTAGAAGGTTCATCGAATTCCTGATGGTACTTCGTTTACCGAGTTGTGAAGGATCCGTTCATCTAGGATGTTTAAAGGTCAAAGAGCTTGACATTGCCAAGCGTAAGATTTTGTTGATGGTTCAGAGAGAAGTGTATGGAGAATTACTTAGTGAATTTAAAAACAGCAGTAAAGTAGTAAGTCATGATGATCTGAAAGGTTTATCATTGACAATGCTTGATGGGTTACTCTGCGTTGGAGGTCGACTAAGATACTCAGATTTCCCAAATGCTTTTAAACATCCAGTAATTTTACCCAGTCGACACTTCGTGACGGAAATGATAATTAGACATTGTCATAAAGAACAAGGACACATAGGAAGATCATTAGAAAAAGGGTATGGATATGTGCTTACTTGTTTGCAAACATGGGCAGTACATATTGAAATGATGTGTAGTTTGATTACTGATTCATTTATAATGGCCTTATTACGTTTTATTGGAAGAAGAAGGAAACCACCGGAGATTTACAGTGACAGTGCGTCAAGCTTCGTGGGGACAGTTTCTGAGCCAAGGACGTTTGTGCAACAGTCGAATCAGCAGAAGATAAATATTGAATTGTCAGCGAGTCCCTCATCCAACAGCATGGGTGGAGTTTGGGGAAGAGTGATTAGGTCTAAACCACGACTGTTATTGTTGATCACCAGAGAACAGGTGAAGCAGGTCTCCTTGAAGTTTGGATTAGTCTTTGTTGTTATTAATGTAGTTAGGTCGAGTAGGCGTACTGCTGTAAGTTATATAATGAACCATGACCGTAGGCATCAAGGTAGCTTTTGTGGTATGGAGGGATTTTGGAGGCCGGTGTAAGATCCATTTTGAATGTTTTGTGTGTTGGCGAAAATCCCTCCATGTACATACTTGTACTTTGTTCCTATTGATCCTCTTAGTTGTACATTGTTGTCTTTTGATTACATTTGAATTGTTAATACTTGTATTTTTTTATTATAGTTTTTGTTTTTCTTACGCATTCACTAAGTTTGTGTTTCTTCCGGAATTGCATCTGTGTTGTCTTACTTGACACTTGGTATTGGCGGTAGCCATATTGATTTACTCCTCCTTTTGCGTGTGTGTTCTATCCAGTGAAGATAGAATGACGTTCATTTGTTGTGACTGATTTTATTGATTGAACAATTATTGGTTGAATAGCCGGGTAGTAATATTTGTTAAGAACCGCTATTTACCCGATTACTTGTTTTGATTTCGACGGGCAAGGGAGCGTGTCTAATGTACCTGGACGGCTAATTATTTATCCAAACCGTAGTTTGGATTCTACAACAGCCACTACTGGAATATCATTCAATGGCTAAATCACTGGTTTTGACGAGTGACATATATGAGATAAGATTATTGTATACGTGACATTTTCTCCAGTAATAGTCGACAACGTGTGCAGTTTAGAACGCTCTTTTCTGCTATTTCTTTTTTTCCCGATAGTCCTTCTAGGAGTAGGGTCCTAGGCAGGAGTGTGGTCCTGATTATTCAGTGGGAATTTCAGTTTCGGTATTGGAGTTAGGTGATCCATCTTGTACACATTACTAGGTTATTTTTCCGGTATCGTCTTGAGTTTGTTTTTAATCCTAATGCTAGAAAGGGGATTTTCGAATTATTAATAACCTCTAGATAAAGTCTCTACATCGGTTAGTCGATATTATAGTTATAGTATAAGTACTGCTGGCAAAGCCATTACTGTGCACGCTATTCAGTAGCTTAAAGATTGAAATTTGAGACAACTTGTGAGGGAAGTACTTAAGATAAATGTTCCAGATGAGAAAAATAATATGGATAAGTGAATATAAGCCACACAAGAACAGACTCTGAGAGATAATTTAAACCGCAACTTTACCTTTGACCGTCCTAGCAAGCAACTTCAAGCATATCCGGTGACTTGCTCACAGGTTCTGTGTTTGCAAGAGACTAGATATGTGTATGCTGCAGATGAAGCGACTACGGTGAAAGCAATTTATCAAGACAGCTAGATCTACTACACTGTGCTTCAATATTGGTATGATTATGGTTGTTAGATTTGTTGTTATGGTTGTCTACCAGCAAGTTGGAGACGCAGAACGGATACCTGTAAGCACTTAAATACTCCAGTTAGATAGTGGAAATGTATATATTTCCGGTTATCGGTGAGAGATTAATGAAGTCACGTCAAACTTGAAGTGAAGGTGAATTCGTAACATGGCATACGTGTATTTCTATCCAAATTAGCGATCGACTGCTGTTTCAGGATGCCTAAGATTACAACGTCAGTGTCGCCTGATGTGAATAGTGACACATTTAGCATACTTGTATGTTTGAACCACGGAGAACAACAATTGAAAAACATAGTTTTTATTGTGTAATCTCCATGCTTTTGTAATTATCTAAGAAAAATCACAAAAAATTTAAAAGTGTTGATCGGAAATATGAGCAACCCAAACTTCTGACGTTGTAAAATATCGACCACTCTTGACAGTCAGATTACATCTTTTGAAACGTTCCACGAAGAGCTTCACAAGTTGTCTTAGGGTTGTGGTTTATCAAAACCATAACTTTTAAGTCTACCTAAGCATTGTGAATATGTGGTAGTTCCCAGCAAAAGTAGCTTATACAAAATATATCAATACACAAGGTTACTAATAATGATATGCCAAGCGATTTAACAGTAAAAATCCTAGGTGTCTGTCTGTAAGTAAAACCAAGGATAACAAAATACAGTTAGGATACAAATGGTATATTAAACAAACAGACAATAACAGTTATTATGGAATGAATGCTACTTGTAAGGTGCCTCTTGAGAATAACAACCACAAATGAGTTCACTTGATTAACGAAGGTTCCTCTACAAGTGATTGCACCAACAACGTATTGAGAAAGACAGAGTCCAATAGTGTTATATATTAATAATCCGTGCCAAAAGTCCAACGTAGTGTCAGAAGGCCTAAAAGGATGTTATAACACTATTATAGCCTCTAATCAAAAACCGTGATCAATAAAGCAGAAGAACAAACAGCGTAGATAGCGTCTTATATTTCAAGCCACGCGGTAGTAATTTCGTATATTATATATCAAAACAACTATCATCATTTCTAAACAAGTGATACATAAAACAACAGATATTGAATAAAAAGGTGTGACGAATCAGACAGAAAATGCGGTTTTTATTTCTTGTCGTTACAAAAATCACTGAATAAACATCATAAATAATAGCCTATTTCAGTCTAGATGAGATCTCAAAATATTGATTGTTCCCTGGAATACGACCACCTGTTGTGCTTTAACTAGTACCTGGAACAGTAACAAAACAGCAAGAAACGAGTGCGAAGTTTTTAACTGGTCTATATAACCTCGTGATGTATGAGAGATATTGGATATTAGACTTCTACCACTCGAGATCCGTGATATCCTGATCTTGCTCAAAAGTTTGAACTTCACTTCCGTTATTTTAGTCATACATTATCGAAATTATGTTTTCACAATCATCTTCACTGATGCTTTTAGTTGGAGCCAATAATTAGCTTCGTCTGTCTTAATTTTGATTGGTCGGTCAAGGCCGTCGGTATAGTAGTTAAGGCTACATTTGAATAAAAAGGTATGCATCGCTTTATGGTCGGGCTACTAAATTAGTTAGAGGATGAATGTTCTGAAGACTCTGTATTGGTGTGCTGGTAAAGATGGGGATAAACCATGTGATTCGCCTGTTGAACTTCAACACGGTAGTGGTGTTCCTGATCTGTCTATCGTGACTACTGAAGCAGACTACTGTGCGCTTAAGGTACTAATCATTTACAAATATTTTTTCCCCTTAACTTAAGTGTGATTTGGTTGATTTGCTGTCGACATTACTTGTTGATGAATTTGATCCTGCAAACAGAAAGCTGTTGGGTGTACTGATTGACAAATGCGTTGAGAAGGATCCCGAATTCATACTCAAAGTATTACAGTTTACTTAACCCATAGTTCCCAGATCGCTCTTCATTTCCATAAACTGTTGGATATTCGAAAGACAGCCAATTTGTTAATTTCGATAGCTTGCTTTTATGTTCAGTGCCGCGTTTTCATAAAGAAGTATTTTAATGCATGCATTTGTACACCCTTCGATTGGATAGAAGTTGCAGAGTGCTATGCAGTAGGCTTGTGATATATTTTAACGTATCTCGAAGTCGTTGAGCGGTGATCCGAAACTTAGAGGAATGCCAAAAGCATTAAGAAAGTGTATGGTCTCAAAGTTTTGTGAATTTGATCAGAATCAGTTAGGTAAGATCATGTTGATTTAGCGACTCTGTAGCTCAATGCAAGCGAAGGCTGAGTAGTGCCTGTTCTTATCGGTGCAAGGTAATTCACCTTACAGTTTTTAAGTCCATTAGGCCAGTGGACGAGGTGCAGGTGATACCGCAGTGGATGCCGTAACAGACACTTTACAATCAAGGCTAGTGGATCCTTCTCCGATTCATTTTACATTGAAAGAACTCGTTCGTAAGTTGCACATATCGAAGCCTGCATTAAACGTCATGTGTATTCTTGGAAAATTGTATCCCAATGATGTCACTGCCTTTTCAAAGACGGGGTTAGAAGGGGATTGGGATGCTAGTAAAGCTGGTGTATACATGAAACTCCCCGCTCACTCAAAATGGAAAGTAGAGTTAGCTTCTGGCAAAAGTCGTGATGCTTGGACAAAGATTATAAGTGAGTGTTATTTCATATAATTGGATTTATATCCCGTTTTTTATCATTTACTCCCGAAGCTAATATCAGTTTTTGATTACAACTGAGATGTTGAGACCGATAATAAAGTTGCAACTCTCAGTTGGCAGTTGTTTGTATTTGGTCCAACCATTTAGCACAACAGCTTTCTTTCGTACTATCGATTGCTCTGGAGATGTATGTGTTGTCTACGGTGTGTTTTGCCACTAGTTATGAATAAGTCTTAGAGTTATTATTATTATTAATATTATCACTATTATTGGTGGCTTTATTCAATATTATATTTTGGTACAATATAGAAATTCTCAGCACGTGGTATTTCAAGAAGTTTTTTCACAAAAAACAGAAACAAAGACAAAAAAGGTTTTGAAAAAATCTGAAAAACCGTACAACTTTTCAAATTAGAAACATGTTAAGAATGCAGGTTATTGACTAGGTTAACTCTAACAACCTGTTCGTCAGAGAGTATATTTACTAGGTAAGGTATTATAGAACTTTTATACTTTTGCTTGCGTGCATGGATTTTAATGTAATTACGCCCCGTTCTACCAGAAGATATACATATGTATTCCAGATGTGAATAGGTATATTGCTGGATTTCTTGTTTTTACTGTTTACTGTAAATAACGTTGAGTGCCGTTTAGACCAAACTCTTAGGAGTAAGAAAATCAAGCAGTTATATGAACATTTTAGTGAATAGGCTATTCAGGATGTAATAAAGTTGCAAAAATATCACCATTGTGTCTAAACTTGATCAAATTATTGGAAGCACGTGAAACAATCTATTCTTGACGTTATATCGTAGTGAACTGGAACGCCAGTGGAGACAAACGAATGTATTTTAACACATTACAGAATATCTTGGTGAAATCTGAGAACTATGCAGTAAATACTTCATTCGCAATATGTCAATCAATTTTCTCAGACTTTGTTGTTTCTTCGTTTCCGCACCAACCAGTCTCTGCTCTCGATGTATTCTCTTCAAACTTCTCAACTTTTTGCCTCCAGGCATTCCACTTTCAATCGGTGGTACGTACTGCTTATATCTGTCGACATCAGTAGCGCACACCACAATATGACATGTATATCATGATGAACTGAATCTTCATGAACAAATCCATGTTCTATAATTTGTTTAAGGCTCTACATGATCTTTGTAAATCTTCCCAAATAATACAGGATACCTATTGAGTTAATATATTTTATTAAAATGGTAATCAGTCTTAATTTGGGCGGTTATTAAGTAATCTGTGACATAAATTAACTAGATGAAAAGTCATACATTTGAGATACATTTCCGAAGATGAATGGATGGAACTAAAGGAAAATGACAATTTTCCGTGATTCTGAAAATGATCTTGTATAATCTCAATCAATTATCCAGTTCAAAATAAGTTTAGGAATTTCTGTCAGGGATTTAGATTAGGGGTTAAGATTGGGACTCAGCTTACCAAGTCAGGGTTATGGTTTTGAGCACGAACTGACATCAACTATGATGCATGAAACTTATGAAGTCACGCAAATAGGTGAATAGCGCGCATTAATTCCAAAAAACTCCATTTAAAATCTGAGTGTTTCGCCAACAAACTTTAGTTCCACTCATAAATGTTAGATTCAAACATTGAGTTTCAGTATGTAGCTTAAAACCAGATCTGAGTATCTGTTGTTGAAGTCTGGTAGTCAATCCATGAGTCGACACTACATATCCAGACAATTTGATTCAGATATCTTGACCAAAGCATTGGTTTCCTGAATTCTTGAAAGCAGGAACTTTGTTGCCTCAACTCGAAGTTGTCCTACCGACTGTGCTAGGATGTGGGGGCAGTGCATTGTTTTTTATGGACATTCACAGTATTCATTGATGCTTTATTCTCCTGAGTGGAAAGACTGATTAGAAAAACCATCCATGAAAATAAAACACCCTCGTTTACCATATAGATTTCTGGCATTGACTACCGAGTCTGAAAAACGTAAAACTAAGATCTTGAAAGTCACAGAAATGTGGTTCGTGATATGTGTCAGGTAGTCAGATTCCATCCACTGGAGTTATGGTTTCAGGTCAACAAGATCCTGAGTAATAATTCTGTTTTCTTTCCATATCCTTCAAAAGGAACTATGTTTCTACATTAAGAGTCAATGAAAAGTGTCGATTAACTTCTAACATATATACTTTAACATACTAGAATGAACACTCCTGGTTTTAGTTGATATCTACTTCCTAACTAGGAAATGTGTATTTTGGTACCACCGAGCAAACAATGCCTGATTTAAGAATAGGGTGTTAGGTAAGAATAACAAATGGTGAATCTTCAACTGAGGTTGTTGTGACATGTGTTGCGTGTATGCACATCCACCACCTACATCGACGGGCGATGTTTTCTGGTGTTGGAGTGGGATGGAAAAAAGGTGGGGGCAGTTAAACCAAGGGAAGACATTAGTCGATGAAGTCATCGTCGATTGGACTGGGCAATGCTAATAAGTGTAGATTACCTGGTTGGGATCCGTGTGATTATCGTAAACAATGGTTAGAGACTTTGGATGATATGGCCCAAAATCGTTTGTAATGGCGCAGGTGCATCCGTTCTTTGTTATTAAATTTCCTACGTTATGAATTTTATAAACTTTTATCAGTTAGAGGAGGGCTTTAAAATCATATGGGTCTTCGAAAAATGAATGGAAATAATTATGTAACCGTGTAAAGTTGATTAGATGAAATGTGACCAACTGTGTACACGATAGACTTGGATTTATTATTGTTATTCTAGTGTGTTATTACCTTAAACAGTGTATTTTGTTGTAAAATGCTGAATCCAGTTGATCTTTGCTGTGTTTACTCACCTACCATCACATTGCTGATTGAGTTTTATGCTTCTTCGATATCATGCTTTTGTTAATATATGAGTTTGAAAGCTTCATTTTGAAATAAAGTAGTTATTTCATAGCACCTCTTTCATATACTTTTACTTAGTGTCTGGTGATCTTTGTCATGAATTAATTCTGAGAAATCTAAAAAGTATCCTATGCTCACGCATTTCTCAAACTGGACATGATATTGTTTTACAGAGATTGTCAGATGCGGTAAGTGTTAACCCTCTAAAGATTTGATGTTTGTGAGGTTTATTGTTTTGCTGTTCAGTTATGTGAATCTAGAATTTTAGCACTGATGATGGTTTCAAGTAGATATATCGCTAGAATAATTATTAAGAGGGTATAGTTCATAACTCATCTTCGAAAAATCGGTATGTAAATATTTTCGAGTTGATATGTTTTGTGCATCACCACTTAAATAGTTGACAGTAACCCAATGTTCACCAGTAATGTGCTTCAATATCACTATCTCTATGTTCCAGTGGAAAGTTTCGACCTGAAAAATCGACGTGGTTTTGAATGAGAATGGATGTCCATTGATGAAAGTTACGTTATACTGCACATTGACTGACTTTAAGTGATATTGACTAACCTTTAAGTTGTAACGTAGTTGCTGGCAGTTATAATGTTAGTTATTATGTATGAAAGTGATAGTGCTGGAGTTTTTTTCTTTGAGCTGGATGGTTTGGTCGTGGAGCTTTCATCGTTCTTCTGAACGACATCATCAGCAGAAACTTCAGCTACAAGTAAAGTGACGATTCTGCTGTAAATTTCTTTATAAAAAGTAGTTGTAACTTCCTTAACTGAAAGAATTCTTTCTGATTGTACCATTCCGTTCCCCCCATTATTGTTATTTCACTACCATACATTTATCTGTGGTCGTTATTGCTCTTTTTTTCTTATACGCACCTTACATTCTTTTTCTCTTCCCATTCTCGTTGTTTTGTGTGGCGCATATACATCTGGTGTCCCCTTGCACCAATATTTGTGTTCAAATAAATCAATAACAAATAAATATTAATTTCCAGTAAGAGTGGCCGACACCGGCCGTCATGAATGAGGATTCTATGTAGTTGTGTTAGCAGACGCTTTGCTGGACTTTTTTTTAATGAATTCGTTCTTGTTCGACTGACTTAGATTTCTTCTACATTGTCATACACAAATTTTGGACATAGACCTTGATATTTCGGAAGACTATTTGTCTGAAAGATATACTATGAGTCTATCAAGCTCGTTATCAGTGATAGTTTTCTGTTGTTTAAATATTCTATAATGTTCTTATCTGTCGTGGTACATCTACTAAGACTTGTCTTTATATTTCATAGTCGGAAAAGCTTGCTCAACGACAGCGTCGCATGGTTTACTGCACCAAATTATTAAACAATTACTTTTCCGTAGGTATCATTCGTCACAGATTAGCATCAATTGGGATATCATAGAAGCTAGGACTCCTTAGTAGTACTGGCTAACGACCAGGACCACCAGATCTCAAAGCGAAACACTGGGGCTGTAGACCACTGAGTTGCCATTGAGTGGTCTACATTTTGAAATTTAATCAATTCATCACGCTGGTAGTTAGAGGATCATCACTGACGACATTGGATGACCGTTGCCTCGTACCACGAATTGACTGAAGTTAAGAATCTGAACCATTGAATCCTAACTCAGTAACCTAAGTGTCAGATGTTCACTTGCAGAGCTGTAAGTTCTCTATCTGATCAATAGCAGTGTTGTAGGTATACACTGGTGATAAGTCCCGATTTAGGAATAAGCAGCTATCTAGTGCTTCCTGGCTTTTAGTGGTACTCCATTTGATTTCAATCTGTAACGAGTGTGAACTAATCTTTACAATAAATCTCAATAACAATTGGTCATTCGTTCTAAACGAAATTTATGTTCTAGCTATTCAAAACATTCTTTGCTGTTGCATACAAAGGTATCAAAAATTACCACTAATATAAATGATAGACTTATCATTTAAAAGTATTATTTATTTATTTGAACACATAAATACTGGTACAAATGGGCACCGAATACAAATGCGCCACACAAGTCACTTGATAGGTGTGTGGGTTGTGATACTATACGGGGGCCCAGAACGAAGCAGGATCATTTGAAAGTGATTGATGACTTAACAAATTTAGATTACCGGATGTTTATTAGTTACCTTGAAGTAAATGGTTAGAAAAGAAATGGATTGAGAAACTGCGTCCGACAGATAAACAGGTATTTGGTATTTAAGTGGTTTGTGAAGATTTGTTTACTTGCGAATGTCGATCATTTGACTTCAATTCACTGATGTTCAATATCATGCTGGTAATAAGTTGGTTTATTTCCAGTGTCATGTATGTGTATTTCTGAGGTATCGAAACAATTGTTCAAAGCTACCTGATTTCCATTTGTCTTCCAGCTGATGTCAGTCTATATAAAATCTATTTTGTTTGGTTCATTTTCAAGTCCTTGAATGAACTAAATTGTTTATTGATTTCTTTTTCAATGAACCTTTGTAGTCCAAAAATATTAATCAATACAGTCTAAGTATACGCCTCTATGATTCTGACTTTCCATTGTATGTTGTGAGCTTTATTTTCACAATAAATATCTTCCTAATTTATTTACATTTTAAGTTTTCTAACTGTCAATAGACATTGAATACTTTTTAATTCCAGGAATTGGTCATTGAAGGAAAACAGTTACCATTTGTTTACCTTACAGCGTATATCACCGTTGAGAAACTTCATGATATGCTGTCTATGACTGCAAATCGTAAACGTTTAAAAGGTAAATAAGAAATTCAATATGTACATATATATGTATATAACTAGCAGTTTTTTAAATTTTTCGGTGGGTTCGCATATAACCTGAACTCACATTGTTTCCTGAGTGTGCGTTTATGTGTGAAAAGCGGTGTGGATGGAAGAGTCTGAAAGTGATAAGAATAAGAGTAAAAGCGAGCCGACAACTGAGCAAGGACTCCAGTGTAAAGAGAGTATTATTTGATACAAATATTTACAACAGCTCATATTGTCACAGTTTACATAATTATCATTAGAGAAGGTAAATAATAATCACAAATAATTGTGTGAAAACCGTAGTGGAATACACTAAAAGCACGTCAGAAGTAATGAATAAAGTTGATACATGAAAGCCTAGAATATTATGATCTTAATGTTTTGAAGAATAAAATGATCAAATGAATTTTTATAATTAATTATGCCATATTGTATCTGAAGTTTTTAAATATTGGTCCGGGTTACCTTACAAATAATAGGTAGTCAGTTTGTACGTTCAATTTCACGACTGAGATGAACACGTAATAATGACTATGTGATCGGATGAAACATTCTGGTCTTGTCATTACCAACAAGTCTTTTAACTCAGTTCCTTACTGAATAGCAGTAATTTATTTATTCAGAGTTTACACTTATTCAGTGAGTTGGCTATCACCAACTTTAGATATGTCATAGTTGTGAGTCAGCCCATGTTATCATAACATACCGCCTTAGCTAGGGGAAATTGACAAGATGAAAAGTAATGGTACCGAAACAATTATGGTCACAATGGCATTAAAACTAAACATGGAGAATATGATTCGGTAAAATAGAGTAAAATAAGGAGATAAAAAGTACAAAATATTATGGGAGCCTAAGATTTATGGGAGAATAAAGAATGATTATATCTGCATCACTGTAGCCGACTTTGAGCTATGTCGCCCTGCATTTCTATTCATTGATTAAGATTACTACACGGACGTAACTGTAGACTGCTGAATATGTGTCGTGAATTTCGATAATTTGATGACAGTTTCAGTGGCCTGTTTTTCCTAACCACTTACTTAGTACCAGTTACTGGACATTGCTACCAACGTTTTATAGGTATAACAGTTGTATACTTAACCTTTTCACTATTTATAAATGAATGTTGTTCAAGAGCCATTAATTTTCTCTACTCTTTATGGGATGAGGCTGAATACTGAACAATCAGTAGTTAATTGGCTAGAGATTTAATATTTATTTACAAAAGATACGATTGCCATCGGATACTTAAAGAAAGAAAAGACTGTATTAAAAACAATACAACCGTCACTATAGAGGTGCTAGTTACTTTAGTGAGTGTTTCGTTAAGCTCCCAGTTCTACGGTTAAATACATTAAATTGGTAACCACTGCGGTTCCCACAACGCGAAATAAGAACGTGAAATAGTGTTGATAGGATTGTATTTAACACCAAAACTGAACGAAAACGATATCTGAACATACTACTTTTTATATAATATATTTGCAGTCAGATTTGCATGAATTGAACTGAGTAGTATTTAACACCAAATACTCAATAACTTACTGATTGAACACATATTTACAGTATAATATAGTTAACTATCTGTAATCAAGAGATATGAATATTTGATTAAGTTGTATAATTACTCTCTCTTAAGATGTGATTTCATGTCACAGATTCGTGGGGAAAAATAATTTCATCCATTACTCATTCAAATCATTGAAGTCCTTACTCTAAGTTTCACGTTTAGTTGTCCATGTTTGTGCTTGCTTTGGGTTCAAAGTGTGCATAGTGACTGAAAGTTTGATCTCACTAGACTACGTACGAGGCTTTATTTCATGATGCAGTACATGGATCTGTGTGTGTGTGTGGTTGTTGAGTTGTTCTCCACTGACATCAAGGAATGTACAGTACCATGATGCGGAAATTTACTTCAAATAACTACATTTCACCACTGACCAATATATTATGTATGAATGAAATAGATATTAGATAACGATTAATAAACTGGATTTAACTTTTTTGTGGTTGTTTCAGACATGCGTTTACAAGAAAGCAACAAAATTCGATCGAAGTACCTATATAGATCCAGGAGGTCTAGAGTAAGGTAAGCGGTTTGATTGTTGGTCATGTTTCAGTTATTATCCCTACTTATTTTGTGTATCAGAATATATGGTCAATGATCTCTGTGTATGCGAATAACAAGTTTGACTGGGACAATGAGGATATCCTAGAGGACACAAACTCAAGAAATATGGGGGGAGGTGGTAATCAAACGAAATGACTACCAACCGAAGCATAAATCTAGACTCAACATAAATGTCACCTGTCCGAAGACAAGGAAGCATTATGCGATTGAAAGTGGTTCTCATTTCGCCTTATCAGTAGATCAAACAAGTTAATATGTTTGTGGAAATAATCCTGGCCTAACAAACCTATCAGACTAATGGTCGATAAATGCTTTACCCATAAATTTGTTACACCTGAAACACTTTGTTTCCTTATCGTCTTCATCAAAAAGGAATACATTACATGCGTAATTTGATTCAACATTTATTTATCTATTTATTTATTTGAACACATAAATATTGGAACAAGAGAGCGCCAATATATATGCGCCACACTGAACAATAAGAAATCGAAGGGAAAAAAGGGAACAATAACGAAGAGATTGGTTTAAGGTAGTGTAAAATAATAATGGTAATAATGGGGGAACGGAAATGTACAACTAGAAAGAATTCTTTCAGTTAAGGAAGTTACAACCACTTTTTATAAAGTTACAGCAAGATCGTCACCGGCTTCTATTCTGAGTCATATCTGATAACATCTTAAGCCACTGTGTTGCACCATCTCTCGAACCCCAACCAGGGAGCATAGAGCAAAACTGCTCTCACCAACGTGTTGTAGATCCGACCTTTTACAGCCAGACTGACATAACGAAGGCGCCAAAGATGGTGCAGATTGGCATAAGCCGCTCTGGCTTTCACTATTCGTGCATTGATCTCATCACTCACACCCCCACCAGCACTTATGCAGCTACCTAGATACACGAACTTCTCGACTACTTCTATCTGCTCACCATCCAGGGTGAGTACAGGATTAGAATCCTGACAGTCTTGTTGAAGCACTTTGCACTTCGAAGGAGCAAAGCACATACCATACCTACGAACATTGACTGCCAACTGATTAAGTGCGGATTGCATGCCTTGGGCATTATCGCACAGTAAGACAATATTGTCCGCATACTCAAGGTCGAGAAATCTTTCTCCGGGCAACAGATCCTCATCACCATTACTTATATCCATCAAACCTGTTTCCAGAATGTCATCGATGGCAAAGTTGAAGAGGAATGTTGAGATTAAGCAACCCTGTCTAACTTCACTGCTTGAATGGAACAATGGAGATAGGTGGTTGTATGCCCTTACTCTGCCTGAAGTGTTTGTATATAGGGCTTTTAGGATGTTAATAAACTTCTCAGGCACACCCTTCTTCAACAGACAATCCTAGAGAACAGTCCTGTCCGGTGAATCAAAGACAGCCTTGATATCAAAAACACTACGATTGTTGGCCTTTGATAAGTAAGGCGGTGTTTTAACATTTGATGGAGGGTGAAGATATGACCAATACATCCTCGACCAGAACGAAAACCAGCCTGCTCCTGGCCAGTCAATCTTTCTCGGGTTCTGAACAACCTACGAAGCATGACGGAAGCCAACAGCTTGGATGCAATCGGAAGTAGACTTATCACCCGATAGTTGTTACAGGAACGACGTGAACCCTTTTTAAAGATAGGGACAACTATCGACTCATTCCATGATGTTGGAACACTCTCTAGCTCCCAGACCTTTGTAAACAACGTCGTCAATTCCTTAGTCAGAAAGTCGCCACCATCTTTAAAAAGAGCCGGAGGTAAGTCATCTGGGCCAGGTGATTTGTAACGCTTCAAGAGTTGGGTTTCCTTGAGGACTCCCGCCTCATTTGGTGGATCAGTCATTACCGGCCATGGAGGACAGGACAGTCTGACCGATGTTGCCGGAGCAGCAGGCCAGTTGAACTGCCCTTTGAAAAGTTCTGCCCATCATCCAAGACGTCGATGGATGTTAGTGATTGGCATCCCATCATCCTCGCAGATTGTTTCGCTCACATCAGACTTCTTGCTGCCAGTGGCTCGGATGAGTTGGAAGAGCTTCCGGTAATTACCAGATACAGCTGCTGCTTCCAGCTCATTAGCACGCTCCGACCACCAGGCTTCTCAGTCCTTACTCAAGCTTTGCCCAATTTCCTTATGTAACATCCTTCGTTTATGGTCAAACTCACGGTCACCCGGAGTAGACCGACGGGCTTCAATGAGTTGTAAGGAACCAGATTAAACCCAGTGCTTACAAGCGGGACGTTTCGCAAACCCACAACTGACTGTTGCAACAGAAGTTGCAACCAGCTTGCTAACATCAATCCGTTGGTGGCGGTCACTTCGTTGGCCACTGGAAAGTAAGGTAAGACTGGCGCAGACCAAGCCATGGTCAGAGTCCAGATAGGTACTCCAAAAGGAGCGGCAGTCTTGTACACAACCACGCCAGCGGTAGCGTGAATCTCGTGGTAGCAAATCAATTCTTGACGACAAGAACGTTGTCACCAAGTTATTACTTTGAGTAGGTTTAATAATATCGTTAGATTTTATTATGAGGAGGGTTTTATTAAGTTTTGTCTGCACTGTGCAAAATTTTGCTGGAGCATTTTTCCTGATCGATGTCTTTTTTACTGTTAATAAATGAATCGATTAAATCCATTGAATACCTTCCTTGTGTCGCCTGTAGTGTATGGATCATTTGTAAGATATACTGCAATAAAGTCCACTTCATTATAAGACTTTAGTTCAGTCAACAATAGACTAAACAAAACATCTAATTCATCAAACACAGCGATTGGATTCGTATACCTAGTAATGTAGAACTTTTCATTATCGTTTGTTGGATGTACATTCTTTTGGAAGCGATCTGCTACTCGGTATTCTTTAGATTCAATTAGCCACCACAAATCGATACATTTTTATTTTGGTTTCAGATCTTTGAACATTAATAAGGGGCTATTGAACAAATACCTATTGGCTTTAACTAAAGCTATGAGCTTGTCAACTCGTTACAATTTGTCTCCTATACGTTGTTCAGTTTTGGTTATTTGTTCTTTATGCTCAGGATTTGAGCTTCAAAAAATTAGGAGATCTACTAGAGTGAAAGCTATCGTAAGTTGAGATTTTTTCCTCTGTGTATGATTATTTGCATTCAGTTGGTTTGTGAAGTGAAGCGTGTTATATTTTACTTGAAATAAACTGCCGATAGTGTTGCTAGCTTACTGGTATATATTGATGGATAATGATAATTCAGGATGAATTGTACGTTGATTATGCTGACTGACTGATTGATCTATTCCGGACGAATATATTAGTGGTCTACAATCTCATTGACAAAAGCTATCTGTTACAGGTTAAGCCCATTGAATCGACTAACTGATACAGCTTCATAGGTAAACCTAAAGTTGTTGTGGATCCCTAGGCGTTCGAAATTTCTAGAGGAAAATAACTGAATTAATGTTGATGGTGTGACTTGTTTAGTTTCCTGGTTGTAAAGCACGAATGTTATCTCTGAATATTACTGAATAATATAGCATTCAGAGTTTGATGTAAGTGGACTGACCATTCTTCTCGCCTTCTTTAAGAATTAACATATTATATATTAGCCTAGTATTAAATGAAAAGTGTAAGAGTCAATTTTTAATTTACTTGAAAAATCTAAAGATGATTAACCATTGCTGTAAAATTCCCATTATATTCAAACACAATTATATGAATGAAGAATACTCTGCTTTCATTCTGGTCAATTTTATGGATTATTAATTTAGATTTATAATTATAGAAGCTGATGAGAAATTATTGAGAAGAATATTCTTCGTTCATATAATTGTGTTTTATTAACCATTAACAATGTCCTGTTTTGTTTGTTTAGTATTCATCGATTGTGTTTCATCCTAGAGATCAGTAACTTTTGCCTTTAACTCTGTGTATCATTAGTGGAAATATCTGGAAGCCTTCTAATTGTTCATATTGACTATCTCTAAAGGATGATAATAATTTTTCAGTGGTTAGTAGTGGCTGTTACTTTTGCAACATCGATTATAGTTAGTTGGAATAGATAGGTAGATAGACAGATAGAAACGTGTGTCGGCGTAAGTTGCAGTATTTCGCGTCAACACATCGAAATGTAATTAACCAGATGATTGTCAAGCAACAGAAAATTATCACACTGACAGTAGTGAAAAGCCACCAGTGAAATGTAACGTAGAAGCAAAAAAGGATATTCATCTTGGTGGTATTGATTTGATTTGTGTGTGCTATCGACTATCCACAAATTATACCCGTTTTTGCGCACAGTATTTGACACAGTTATCAAAGCATCAGTTTACATATTACTGCATCATAAGATTAGTGTTTGACCTCATCTGTGTTACTTTAGATACGTGGCATTTTCACTTATAGTCGCGCCAAGTTCCAGGTTTGAACCCGCCTCACGTTCTCCGGCTTAGGAAACCGAGTGGTATGATTAGTCACCACACTTATAGTGTGGCTCATTCCCAAGTACGTGGTGAATGAGTTAACATATTATTTATTGTTATTATTATTATTCTACCACATTTGTTATGGTTCTCCATCCTTTAACGATGGACAGAGTAGGGTGTGACGCAAATATACTCTACATCTAAACAGAGAGAACCTGGTATATAAACATTGGATGAGTGGAACTGATTGCACAAACGTCAATACTTTTTACTCTGTTTGATTTCAACTGTCGATAATGATGTGAAATATGGTGATACACACATGCATACTGATAGATATTTGTGCTAAATCCTATGGTATGTTCAAATGTACCAACAAAAAATTATCGGATTGTTTTTCCTTTGTAGTTAATGCATAGTCTAGTTTCTCATTTTTGTTCGCTTTGATAAGTATCTTGACATTTAATATTA